AACAACAACAACAACAAAAAGCTTCATATCGCTGCACGGCGTTGTCGGCACGTTCTTCGCATCCTAGCTCCGAAGGCCTGTTGGTCACATAGTACCTTTTACAGGTTTCTGTTAGTGCAGTAGCCCCATCGCATGCTCCTGTCACCCAGCATACAGTGGTGCACTAACAAATGTACATTCACCATTCAAAATTCTAGCCAGACACAAGTACAAACACCAATTCCTTGCTCACCTCGAAATGATGCTCCAAATAATTCGATTCAACATTTTACCTCTTGTGGGCTTTCTAACGCACAGCATCCTCGAAACCTACTGTGAAACGATTCGTACTCTCAGCGCTTTCCTCCTTTGGATTCCAAGCCAGGCACCACATCATCGGCAGTCCCATTCATCCCTTTACGGCCCTCTTGTTACAAAAATATCTTTTCCATGATCTCACACCATCCGTGAGATCATCTCCATCCATCCATTCATCATTTCACTTCCACCCGCCTCCCCTCCCCTTCCCTTCCCTCCCGTCTTCTCCTCTTCCCTCCTTCCCTCCCAAAACCTAAACCTCCCCCACCTAAACCTTCACAACCTGCCCCTGACCAAGTCCATAAACCCCCACCCCTACTCCCCTTCTTTGCACCTCCTTCTCCGTAAACCACAAATAAACCAACACTAAAGGCCACGCACTCCCACACAAGAAAGCACCCACCACACTAACCAAGTTAGCCCCCCTTTCGCCATGCTCCCCCGCCCAGCGCTCCAGAAGCTTGACGGCGGCGAAAATCACGCCGATGCCGTAGGCCGAACACGCCCAGGTTATGCCGAGGATGATGTCGGCGGTGCGATCGGCGGGGGAGAGGACGACGCCGGAGGTGTCGGCGAAGGGTTCGGATAGGGAGAGGTTTTGACCCATTTTTGGGGTGGTTTGTCTTTTTTTTTTTTTTTTGGGAGGGGGGAAGAAGGGGCAAGAGGTGAGGTTGGGTGGGTTGTGAGGTTTGGAGGTTGGAGGTTGGAGGTTGGATATGTCCGCGTGGTGATGAGACAATAGGTAGGTAGGTAGGTAGGTACCTAGAGGTAGGTAGGCCGAGGGTTGGATGGATACTGTAGTTGATTTGTAGGTTTATGAGTTGTGTTTACAACAAACAAGGTGATTGAGATGCTCAAAAACCAAACATGAAATGTACCGGGAGTCGATTAAAGTGTCGGAGAAGATGAAATGTAGAATTAAGTCCTTGTTGACTTCCGGGTTGGTTCAGATGATCGTGAATACGACGTGGCGAGAGCGGACGTGGAAGATGGTGCACACTATGGTAGGCGGAAAGCGGGTGTTGAGAAGTTGAAGTGATGATATGAATGAATGTTTGGTCGGCCGGGACTCGGATCGCGAACTCAAACGCGACTAGATGCTGAAGAATGTCGGCGAAAAAAAAAAAGAAAAAAAAAGAGGTAGACAAAGTCGACAGTTTGCGTGTATTCGAACCAGCGAGTAACGATAGATAGATAGACGACGACGACGACGACGACGACGACGACGACGACGAATGGATGAATGAATAAATAAATAAATGAATGAATGTAATTGCCCAGCAATAATGAAAATTGAAAGGAACTGAAAACACGGAACTGAAAAGACGAAGCTAAGTTGAAGTCGTGAAGAACAGCCCAAGGAAGAAAAAAAGAGAAGAGTTGAAGCGAAGAGAAAAAGGTTCACCTTCACGTCTGAAATTGAAGTCCTTGAGGAATGGAGAAGAAGTCACAGAAAGAACTAAACTAAACAAGGGCAGGCAAGGATGTTTCGGATCGCGGATCGACCGTGAACCTCCCCTTCGCTTCGCTTCTCTTTTTCTCTCCATCTCCAATCCCGACATGGCATGGGCTTCCTCGGTTGAAGAAGACCTGCTTCTCTCTGTGGTGTACACAGGAAGAAGGAAGTTTGTCTCATGACATGACGACCCGAAACAGCCCCCTTGGAAGTTCGTCGCGAAATCCCTGCGTTTAATTGGTTGACTTATAGCCCTATCCAAGTCATTCCGAAGCAACAGGTGTTGCAGACCGCCCAGGAAGGCCATGTTAGGGCGTTTTAGCCGCCTGTAGCGCTGCAACATGGACTGTGTAGGTGTAGACTGTTTGGCACGACTCCGGGTTGAGGTTCGCGAAATGGAATTATTCGGTCGAAAAAGGGAAACCTGAGCTGCCAACGTCACGTCAGGTATCGCAGTTGGTGATGTAAATAAATGGGTTTGAATTGAACCTTCGTCATATCATAAGTTTACTGTAGGTTCGTTTGTGTGGCACTCTTGTAAACCTTTTGTTAGCTTTCAATGCTGCCACTGCCTAAAAACCCGTGATACAGCGCAAGTCCAAGATAAACATGTTTGCATACATGCTTTTCTTTCTTTCTAAATATCAACCATGTTCAAGGTATCCAAGAAACTATTTCCGTACCGGCTATTCCTTCCATACAATTGTCCGGTTTCTCCTGCTCTATGATAAACATGTCTATTTTCGTTACTCCCCTCGACATATGCTTTCCTTATGGCTTCGGTCGGAGGAACGGATGTGCTTCGGTATTGAACACGTATTCGTCGAGGTTAATGATATTGGGAGGGGAGAAGATCAAGTAAAAGTACTTGAGAGTCTCGGCCAGCCAGAAGCTCTGTAGCAGGAGGTATGTTAGTTAATGCCACCACAAATATTTCCCCGGGGAAAGGGACACTTACCTCCATCGAGTCAGTCTTCGTAGTCGGACCCTTGACCGTGACATCGGCAATCGCCGAGTACGCTAGCTCCGTCTCCGTGGCGTTCACAATGCTTTCAAACATCTGCCAGGCCAGATCGCGCAAGTCTTCCTTGCCCGTCATGCGGTACAAGAGGAAGATACTTTCGATGGCCTCCGGCCGCAGGATATACCTGCTGTCGCGAGCGCTAGCAAACCCCTTCTTGAGATTCTTGCTGCCCTCTTTCTTCCACTTGCCCTCGTCCCATGGGCAGGGGGCATCCCAGGAGCCACCGCAAGGAACCATGTTGAAGATCTCGGGCATGACGCCAGTAGGGAAGGCATCATACGCCCATCCACAGCCGCGGGCCAGGCGCTCGCCGATGTCAACATGCTCGTTGATGTCGAACAGCTTGCCGCCGAGACCAAACATGCCGCCGGTAAAGCAGGTTAAGTGCTGACCCTCGGCTACACGGTCAACCCCGTCAGGTTTGGCAAAGGCATCGCCGACGAACAAGATGTCGTGTTTCTTGGCTTCCTCGGCGGGCAGCATGGGCCGGAAGAGCATGTGTTTCGTGACGACGTCCATGGCGGCGCGGTGCATCTTTTCGTATTGCGGCGATAGACCGCCTAGGAGGGCATGCATCTTGGGTAGATACTCGTACAGAGAGTCGGCGAGCGCGCCAAGGGTAAAGCCACTCTCCCCGTCCACGCGCTCTTCACGGAAGTTGATCAGCTTGGGCCACATGCCGGGCAGCTTGGACTCGTTCTGGGTGCGCTCGAGAAACTCGGTGATGCGAGTGATGGCGTCGAAGTATCGTTGGTCGCCCGTCAGCTGGGTGAGACGGGTGAACTCGAGCGACAAGGAGCAGGGAGAGGCCGAGGGGTCGTTGGTGCCGGCCACCTGGACGCCGCGCTTCGCATCCTCAAAGTTGAGCCAGAAGCCGGGCATGCGGTTCGGGGTGTCAAAGCCCATGTAAAGCATGTTTCCCAGCTCTGTGGCCTTGTCGAGTAACGCCTGCTCTCCGCTGAGATCGTAGGCGCTGAGGAGGCCGCCGAGGTGGCGGATGGTGGTCTCGAACATGTTGGCCGAGGTTTCGGTGGTGTTTTGCCAGTCCAGCTGGGCAGCGGCGTCCGCGGCGAGGTAAAAGTCATCCCACAGCTCCATAATCCATAGTGTATCGAGGGCGTCAACGAGCGTGGCTCCCCAACCGCCAAAGGTGGTCTTGCCCTTGCCGCTCACGGGGGCGAGCTCGTCGCGAAGCCATGCGTGCTCCTTGTAGCTATTCCAGCTGCGTTCGAAGACGGCGCGAACTGCCTTTTGTCGGTTTCTTGTAACGGGATCGTGGACGTATCGGGAGAAGTCGTGCTGAACGGTTCTCTGCGGTCTGGGGGTGCCGGTCGGTAGCTTGTGCTTGAGCTCGACGGGGAAGTGTTGCTCGACCTTGGTCCAGTCAAAGCTGCTCGGCTTGAAGGTGACCTTGCGCCTGCTGTCTGGTGGCGGTTTCAGTACCGGCTGGGCTATCGGACGGCTTCCATCTGGTCGCGGCGCTGTGAGAGAGGCTTTGGCGGAATCGAATGGGTGGACGAGGAAGAGGACGAGGAGAAAACAGGCGACGCCGGCGACGAGGCGCAAATGTCGTGAACTGGCCATTTTCCGGCGAAAGAGGCGGAGTCTGGAAAGGAAGGAGAAGGAGTCGGCCGAGGAATTCATGTCCCCTCGATGCGTATAAGTGATGGGAGGGGCAGTTGGACCATGCTAGCAACGCCAACGATAATAGAGGTAGTTACACAAGATGGAAGAGTGTTCAGTGATGATCGGGCAATCAATAATGATGCCACGGTTCGCGACACGACTCCAGGCTTGGTTCGCTTCCATCTTGTTTGCGCCTCAATCCATCCATCGTTTAAGCGGGCCAGATCGTCATTGGCGGGTCGCTACAGTGGAAAGATGGGCGAAAGATGTGTGTCAGTCCCTTCCCTTTCAGGGGCATGAGACGCTGTGCCTCTTGGAAACGGAGGTCACTGGCCGGGGAAGGTTTCAACATCTCCAAGGTTCTTGCCGGCACAGCGACCTCCGCTCCGTTGGCGTGCATTCAGGGGAAAGCGGGAAGTGGAGAGTGAAGCAACCAATCGCACAATTGACTAATCATATCCTCAGGTCTACCGCGCGTTAATCTGCGCATGTGCACAAGTTTTATACACACTGTGAAGGATGCATAAGTGCGCCGGGTGCGCCAGCTCAGCATCAACATTTTCCACTCTTCAACATCGTCTTCATCCTGCGGACATCACTCTGACATGTGCCTCATTCCCGGGTGTCAACATGCGCCTTTGCAGGTCAACCTTTCCCTGGGTTCAGTACAACGCGGAAAGCAAATTCGAAATGATGACAACTGGAACGAGACAGCTGTCCAAAGCACCTACGGGCTCCAACATGAGACGATGAGCTCCGGTCCTCATGATGCCACCCTTCGTTCGCCTCTATCTATCTCCTACACTTTATAGTAGACAACGGTGAGTTCCCGTCGGCTTTGCATTGACCATGATGGCTCGCTGCCTAGCAGGCACTTAAATTCTCTAGCGTCCAAACTACCAGCCACCACATCTTCATGATTGGGACAGGACAGGGGACGGCGACTAAAACGGCCAATTTCCCCGGTTTGCTTGGGAATCATAGTCTCCTGCGTGTATGGTAAGCGCTAAGCGAAGGGTTCAATGGATGATATGACTGGGTAGCATGATCGTCGCCAATGCCATGAGCAAACTTTGATACCGCCTTATGAGGCGGCCGCGTCCTCCCTGTCTGTGCCACAGCTTCTCGTCTTTTCGCTCTTCCTTTTTTCCCTTGTTTTGGGTATTGCTCCCCTTTTCATGTTCCCTAGACCTCATGTTGTTGACAGAGCAATGCCGTTCATGACCTCAAGCCTCGTGCTTGCCCTCGGGGCTGCAAGTGTCCTGGCAGCCGATTGTCCTTCGCCTCTATCTTTCCCCATCACTACCAAGCAGATTGATCCAAAAGTTCCTGATTCGTTTATGAGAGGTATTTCCGTAAAAATCGGTACTCCTGAACAGACAATTTTGGTGAATGCATGGCCGTAAGTCTTGTCAGATCGAATAAGACGGGCTGCAGGCTGACATGGTGACATCTAGGGATCTCAATAACACATACATCTACGACCAGCAGATGCTCTGCGACCCGAGCATCATATGGAACGATGAGATCTGCTTTGTCCGAAGGGGAGGTATTTATCACTACGAGGATTCAAAAACCTTCTCAAAGTACAATGACTTCGCCTCGGCTGGTGGAGCCACCAACGAAATAACCACCACGGGCACCGAGCTCGGCGTCAAGAAGCTCCTCACATCCTCGCTTGCCGGTGTCGAGACACTTTCAGTTGGCGGATCCGATGCCTCTTCCGTTACCATGCCGATCGGCATCCCACGCCTGCGATGGGACGGAGGCTACACCATCCTTCACGCACTAGGACTAGGAGCCAACTCGACCTACCTCAACGCCCTTAGCCAGAGCAAGAAAATTCCGTCACGAGTATGGTCATATTTCTGGGGTCGCCAATGGGGCAGTGGCGCGCCGTTGGATGTTCCATTGTCTTTGGCGGCTACGACCAGGAGAAAACCATTGGCAAGAATTACACACAGCCACTGGACTACAGCGAGTCAACTGGATGTTGGACGGGCATGAAGGTCACGGTGTCCGATCTTGTACTCAACTATCGGAACGGAGATGACGAGAGCATAATGCCGCGAAACTCGGCTATTCCGGTCTGCATTGTCCCGCAAAGACACTTGCTTCTGGAGGCTCCCGGGTTTGTCATTGACAACTTTGAAAAGGCCACCGGGATGGTCAGCAAAGGCGATTCATTCGGGTTCTACTGGGGCGGCCAGGTTTATAACAATACGGCCAATCCATCGTGAGTGTCATCTTTATCCCCATTTCGAACGATTTTCCTCTAACGCGAAAACACAGATACTACGACGGCGACATGACCATCGCCCTTTCAAACGGCCTCAGCATCCGGATTCCCAACAGCCAACTCCTCGTCCCATCCGAGGAAATTGCTCGGAACGGCTCGTTCATCACCGAACCCAGCCGCATGGAACTGCCCATCAACCGCCTAGGCACTCAACCCGCCACCCTCGGCCGATTCTTCTTTACCTCCGCTTATCTTATGGTCGATCACGAGGCCGAGACCTTTACCCTGTGGCAGGCCAACCCTACGGCCAAGAGCAACCTGGTCGCCATCAGCCACGCCAAGGACTCTTGTGCAAGCGAGGCTACAGATGGTGGTGCTGGTGATGATACATCCGGCGCTGATGGTGCGAAGGGTGAATCTGGATCTGGTTCCGGTGATAACAACACTCCAGGCTCCGACGCGGGTGAACCGACTACCAAGACCCCCGTCGCCGCTATTGCCGGAGGAGTAGCTGGCGGCATTGGCGCTCTGGCCATCATCGGAGCCGTGGCTTTCTTCCTCGTGCGACGACGCAGAGCGGCAAATAACGCCCAGTCTGGCAAGAGCTCATCTGGGGACGGAAACATGACAGACGGATCGGCACGTGGCTTCCCACCAGGAGTCCGAGAACTGGAAAGTCAGTACCAACAGGCTGTTGGGGAGTTACCCGTACCTGGTGGAAACTACAAGTATGCTGCAGCGGTTGGGGCGCAACAATACAACCCCAACGGAACACATGGACAGCAACAACCTCAGTATTATGGGGAGTATTACAACAATAAACCTGCTGAGGTGCCAGGGCCAAGTTGGGTTTATGAGCTCGATAATAGCAGTCGGCCTGTGGCGCCCGTGGAGCTTTCGGGTGGTACTCCGAGGTTTTCTTAGGAGCCGGGTCAGCGGCCGGGTTGGGGAAGGGTCGTAGACGCGTTCAAGGGCCTGACCTGGACGAAAGCGACGAGGAACAGAAGTAATGCATAATATTCTTGTACATGTACATATTCATTTTTTGGCGGAGATACCCCTATAAAGTATGCGGTTTTGGTTTATGAAAATTCATGACTGGCATCTGTCTATCTACACGACATTACCCTTTCACTCGACCTTTGATCACCTTGGTTGACATTCAAGGAAGATACATGGACGGAACGCCGTTTTTCCTCCCCCCCCCTCCCCCTCAAACTCCATTCAAACGACCAGACAAACCAATTCTATGTCCCGTTCTATTCTCAGCGCTGACCTGCAATGCTTCAAACACAAAGTCCAGCGGCTAAAGCAAACCAATGACAATCCCATGTGGGTGGCAGTACCAATCGGTACCATTCTTTCAAACACATATACCAACCATCCACAGCCAATCGACTCCCCCTTCCCGGCACTCTCCGGGGCTTCGGATGTCAGCCGAACTACGACATCAGCTGTGGCCCCGCAATCGTGCATTCGAGCATCTGGGTTTTCTTGGACGTTGAGATCTTAGTATGGGTTTCTCGAAGACTTGGGCCCGTAGAGAGCTCTAACTGAAACAGTGAAAGATAATCAGCGAGGGGAAATGGGAAGGGATGGGAGGTTTTATTTGCAGGTATTCATAGTAGGATAACTGCTGTGCCATGTGGTATCATGGAGAACCTGAAGACACATGTCGGCTCTCACTCAGATGACGTTGGACCAAACAGTCTGGCACGACCTTGCCAGACGACTTTCCACCCCGCTCAAGTTTTCCACTGCCCTTTGTACCTCCAGTATATGGGCAGCTATATCACCAGAACTATAGCCTGTCTCTTTCTCATATATTCTTCCCCCTCTTGGCCACGGCCACTACACCGTTCTTTCGAAGTCTTACAATGTCCAGTATCTCCCCTCATGCACCCATCCATCATCACAAATCCCTTCCCTATTCCTGAATCGGCACCAATCCCTCCCCTATTCCAGAGTCAATACCAAGGACAAAGACAAAGACCAAGGCAACAACAGCAAAAATGTCACGAACATCCCAAACCCTGAAAACACAGACCTAGCCTTTCTCCTCTGCACCTTAGCCGCAACCTCTCAGTCTCCAAAAGCCAGCATTTCGTTCGTAACGGACTACGGCCTTGTTCTTTCTCTTGAGCCTGATAGTTCTATCAGCATCAGCCTCCGAAAACCAACAGAATCCGAAAGCTCAAAGCAGTCCAGCAATCCCTTTGACAGTACTACGCCCATCAAATCACAGCAACTATTTGCTTTCTCGCCATCCATTCCTGGGGCTGAATTCCACAATGGCAGTATCGATGGGGTGCTGTTCAGTCCTGTGTCGTTGTTAGGCGTTGGGATGGGAGGAGCGAGTATCACGCCTGCGAGGAGTATATCATCTCCGATGTTAACGAGAACATCAAGTCAAAGTCAAAGTCAAAGTCAGCGAAACATGCCAACCAACTCCAACACCAACACCAACTCTAACTCACCGAAGATGAAGATGAAGATCAAATACTACATCCGCCCCGGCCTAGAGGTCAATAGTTCTTCGCACATGTATTACACCGCTTCCCCTTCTACAGCAACACAAGATCAACCACATCCACATTCACAACCACAACCACAACCACAACCCGCCGCCAACATGAACATCAAACAACAGAAACTCCGCCTCCACCGCGTCAAACTCTCCCACCTGCAATCTCTCTATCACCACGCCCCTTCCACTTTCAGTTCAAATTCAAGGTCAAGCTCACGTCCAAATTCCAATTCCTGGTTCGACTCCTACCTCGATTGGATCGACCGATTGGAAGATGCCCTTACCCATCAAGCTTCCCAGGCCCTCTCCCGCTCCCAGCAGCAGCAGCAGCAGCAACAGCCACAAACACCCACCACAGCCCTACCTTTATCACCAATACCTCTAGGTGGAGTTCAGGGGCAGAGGAACGATGGAAGTAGAAACGAAGAGGGGCCATTCACTGACTCAGGCGAAAAATCCCTCTGGCTCGTCGAGGGACTGTTACTAGCCAGCTGGTTATCGCTGCAAGAAGGGGTGGAGGGGGTTGAGTATTTACCGCTTTGTTCGATTTCTTCAGGGTCAGAAGGAGATATGGGGGTTTATCGGTTGGAACAATTCCTGCACGAGGGGATGGAAGATGAGAGAGTAGCTATGGAGGATTTGGATGTGGAGAGGAAGGGGAATGGAAAGCCTGGCAACAACGCGGGGGAAATGATGGGGCGGTTGTTGGAGATTATTCGAGGAGCTGCCGGAGATGGAGATGGAGCTGAGGAGTGATTCCATGTGGGAGATGCTGGTGCTGATGCTGGTGCAGGTGCAGGTGCAGGTGCAGATGCAGGTGCTGACAGGGAAAGACGGCCCTGGACGGAACAACGAACATTGATCTGATCTGGTCTGATTTGGATATGAAGTAGGAAGATGCGCATGTGATGTACAGCCTGCGATAAGATGAAAAAGGTGTATCGTAGAGGACGGCAGGGGAGACGCCAGACATGTGAGCGGGGATGAAACAAAATTCCACTTCATCCTGAATTGAGGGTCGTACCTTCAATTCCTTCCAGTTCCTCGGCCGCTGATCGCTACTGCGGATGTCACCAACATAACCACCCACACACCTCGACCTCCTCCTCAAACCATTTAGGTTGCTACCCATCCCAATTGGTACTTCTCCCCTGGCCCTCCATTGCTACCTCTCCCTCTCCCTCTCCCTCTACCTCTACCTCTTGCTACCCCCACGGCACCCAGCATACTTAATCCTCAGAATCCAACGGTTTCTGCGCATAAACCACCCTCCACGTCATATTCGGATGGAACTGCTTGGTATCCTTCAACTCCCTTCTCAAATGCGCCGCATAGCTAGCCGTCTCCTCGGGTGTCCATCCCATGATGTTGTTGAACATGAACTGCATGACGCCTTCGAGGTCCATGGTGAAGACGGCGTAGATGAAGAGGCCGAGTTCCTTTTGTTTTTCGTCTTTTGGCCAGGGGGAACAGGGGGTCTAGTGGATGTTGGAAAATATCGGGGTTAGCTTCCATTCATTTCGGTTTCTTCCTGCGAGATGTCGGATGTATAGGCAGTGGTGATGCGGTGCGGTGTGCGGCGTGATCGATTGGTCTGCGGTGTGGCAGCAAATCTTCACTTGAATGGTTCGCTCCCTCCAGTCGTGTTCTTGGTCCTGGTCTTGGTCCTGAAGTGACAAACATGCCAGGGGTATGTACCAGGCCGCCAAAAACGAGACCAAAAAGATTGGGGAAGGGTCGATCGGTCAACCGTGAAAGGAGAGGAGGGGTCCAAAGATCACATACCTTATAATCAGTAACCTTGATATTTGTAAACCCCGCCTCCCTCATCCCATCAGCCTGCAAATCCTTCTCCAGGATCTCAACTGGGTTTCCGCTCTTCCGTCCGCCCTCCTTCCAGATGGCGCTCCATTGGCTCAGGGCCGCCTTGTCGTGGATGGTTCCGTCCTCCGAATCAACATGGCCTTCGGTCTCGAGGTGCTCAATCCAGCCGCCTGGCTTTAAGCAGCGGTAAGCTTCCTTGTACAGCGCCGTCCAGTCCTTGATGGCACCGGTGAGCCAGCGGATATGGATGAAATCCAAGGAGGCGGGCTTGTAGGTCCATTCGCGGGTGGCGTCGTCAATGTCGAAACGCAGGTTGGGAGGCACCCACGTGGGTTGGATGGGCGAGAGATCGGTGCCGATAACGGTGGCTTTGGGGTATTTGTCGGCGAAGTCGCTGTTGGGTGGGAGATTGTTGTGTTAGTATCGAATTAAAAGGGGGGTGGCTACCGTAGGTGTGTAAGGGGGAAGACTAGATCTCACTCACATGGCCCATAGTCCTGCAACCACGAGTTAGCAAATCGACCTTAAACCGCGTCAGGTCGGGTGGGTAAGCACAACTTACCAGTACCGGTACCGATGTCAAGGACATTCTCAACCTTGTTCCCATCAATGGGCGCAGTATACAGCTCGCCATCAAGCATCAGGGTCATCGCATGGTGGAAGACATCCAGAAGCGAGTTGGCCTTTTCGTCATTTGGTCCCCTGAATTGCGCTCAAGTTAACCCTGGCTCTTCAGCAGCTTAAGGATAGACATACCAGTACTCTCCGTCCGTTACGGTATCGCTGTGGTAAGTCCTTCCGTTGATGGTCCGATAACGCAAAATGCTTGATGAGAGCGAGGCAGTCGAGCTCTGAGCGTCAAAACCCAAGGTCGAGTCCCCATCAGTGTCATCTTCTGCATCCAGGTCCTGAAGTTGAGTATTAGTGAGCGCTCGCCGAATTGGAAAGTGCTGGAATGAAGGCGATATAAAAATAGGGTTTGTGGAGATGACGCACTGCCTGAATCCAATGCGCGCCATCCAGAACTTGAGTAGGCTGTGATTCATCATTGGCCTTGGGAGATTCAGGGCCATTAGTGGGCGATTGCTCCTTGCCCTTCCCCTCGGGCGACTGTGGCGTTTCGGAAGGTGAACTCATGATAAATGGATGTATGTGGTTTTGAGCTCCGTTTGTTTACTGAGAAAGGGAATTTGGGTTTCGCGATATGAGCGGCAACGCTCTTGTATATTGTATTTTCTCTTTGTCCCCCTCCACAAATGCCTGAAGGAGCGGTCAGGCTTAAACCCGGCACTTGTAAGGGTGCCCTGACGGAGAATGAAGTCGTTATGCGTGGGAGTGGACCACGCCCATGGAGATGGTCCAGGGCCAACTCACTCAAGTCATCCACTCATTTGGCCCACAGCTAATTTTTCGGCTTAGAAAGGGTTGGTATATCGCCGAATGAGTTCTGATAAGTTTCTTGAGCCAAGGTTGTTCAATTAGCCAGGCTCACCAGGGTAACACATCCTCCGCTAGGAGTCGGCATTGAGTGGGCAAAAAACTGGTCACCCCGTACCCATCCACGCCATTTCCACTCCGCGTGGATATGTAAAAAGTTCCCAGGGTCGCAACAGAGGACCTCAAGGGGTACCACAACAGGAGCTCCAGAGAGCAGAGCGCTGAGTACCACCAGTTCCAACGACGTTTGGTTCATGCGCACACGGTATGTTCAGGGCGCGCGGGGGCCTCTGATGCCGTGCGTTCGACCGTTAGTACCGTTCGTAGAGCGCCTGGGGTTCTTGCCAGGCTTTGATTTTCCCCGGTTGATGCTCCATCCAACTGACAATGTAGATAGAGACCACAACTAAATATTGGTATGTACCAACTGCATTCCTAAGGTCCAGTTCTGCCTCATTGGGTAGGGGAACTATATGATTAAACAGGTGTTGAATAGGCGGGGTGGTGAAATGGTGCTTCGGTCCACGCTCACAGGGTGAAACCGAGACTCGGTCCAAGCATCAGAATCACAGTAGAGGTGCCTTGACGGGCACCATCAAGGCCTGAGTTGTAAGAATGAGTAGATAAACCACCCATCTCTATATCCTTGATGCTAAAAGTGCACCGCGGACCATGAAGGTGGTGTTTCAGCAGAGACGCATGTGGTCGATTTTGACGATGGGCGTATGCAACTGAAGACTCCACTACAAGGCACAAGCTACGCCAGTTTGGGTACCGCTAAGAAAAATAAGCAAAGTGGCCGTTTTGGGCAAGGAACGGCCCGCAGCGCGACAGATTACATACTGGCGCGGGGAGGACGGCCGGCCAGGGGGGTAGCCCCGCACCTTGAAGCCGAGAAAAAGCGGTACAAATTTCGTCCAAAAGGGGGGGTATGTACGTGATATTGGATGATGTCGCCAGGTGAGGGTATGGTAGCTGTTGTTCCCAACAAGCCCGTCCCGCAAATACGCCTGTCAGTTATACATGAAAGACACCAAGCTCTCTGTCCTCTCTACCCCCCAGCGCTCCTCCTGCCGTTCTCTGCCTTCTGTTCCACGACGCAAAGGCCCAATTGGAGGACGTGATGGACAATGAGGAGAGGCTTGGCCCTACACTTGTCCCTCCACTCATTCCCCGACTTCTTCTTCCGCCTCTCAAGTTCCCGTCGACTTGGGTGCCGGTATCCCCTCCTCCGCTTGCCTCCTCTTGTCCATGGCCACCTTTACAACTGCCGTCACCAGACTTTCCTCGGGCTTTCTGTCTGCGACTGTAGAGCGGCAAACCGGTGGTGCGCTCTAGAGTCGTTCGCCCATCCCTCGACATATTGCGATTGTCCTCATAAGCGAATTCTCCGTGTTCATGCCCAGGGGCCGTTGAGCTCCTTTTCCTGTTCCAAGAACCTCTATGGTCTTCGGCCAACCTCTTCTCATAGCCAGCAGTATCAGACGGCGCCTGGCCCGACAATGGGATAGCATGTGGATCCCCAAGCCATCTCGTCAAGAAGGTGAGTCCCATACGGTCCCACCATGGGCAACGACTACCCCGTCCCGGCCCTAAGTCAAGGTCAAAGTCGAGGTCGAGATCGAGGTTGAAGTCCGGGTCATCATCAAGGCCATGCGCACGTCGATAATGCCGATGTCGAGTTCGACGGCGGGTGTGAGAGAGCGTCATATGCTGGTAGAACTTGAAGACGGACCATAGAAGGACGCACAGAGCCCCTGTGGCTAAAGTTGAGAGACCTGTTGGGATGGTCAGACTAAATTCAGATTTGATTCGGGTTTGAGGCACATAATTTAACTCGAAACTCAAAAGGGAAAGGAGCTAAAAGTGAGACGTGTGCAGAACGTACCAAAAACTTCCGCGAGGGGAGACCGCTGCCATGTTTCTGGGATTCCGTCGATACTCAAGGCAAGTAGTCCGACGATAAAGGATAAAGGCGCCTTTCATTGGTGAGTTTACAATCAACGTCAAATCTGGCATGGACCGTAGCTCAACCTACAAACAAGACTGTGACTGCAGTAAAGACGAACAACATCGTGGACTGTTCACCCATAGAAAGAGCATCTTCAAGCGTTGCTTCTCGTTGGCGCAGATCTAACAGGGTGGTGACCTGTGCAATTCTCTAAATTAGCGACCAGCTCGGTTTATCCAGTACCTAGCTAGATATCAAGACGTACCATCGATCGAACGCGTTCCGCTTCTGTTTCGAGGACCTCGAACCGTTCCAAGGTCTCTCCCTTGTATGGTTTTGCTACATTGGCAGTGTTTCCATGAACCTCGCTTTGGAACCGCTCGTAGACCTGTGCTTGGTTCCACAAGACCCGTTTGATCATCCCAATCTCACCGATAGTGTCGTCAATGTTGATCAGGATGGCGGTTTCCCTTTGCGTGTCTCGGTAAAACTTGTTGGGGTCCTTGCTGATGGATCCCATTCCCGTCTTCAGTTTGTTGAAGCGTTGCGTGACTTGGAAGTACTGTGTTGTGATTCCACAAGAAGTCAGCAAACTGCTTCCGGAGCACTCAAACTATTTGATAGGCGGTGTGGGTACAGACTTGAATAAAAAGAATGCAAAACTTACCAGTCGAGCAATTGAGGCTGAAAAGGCCTTTGTATATGGGATAGGAACTTTTCTGACTTGTCCGGGTGGTGAGGCATCTGGGTTGACGAATGGGATAAGGGCCTTGGCCTCAAAAGACATGCATGCCTTCAAAATAGCCTTGCACACAAGATCCATTTCCAAGTTTTGATCACCTCTAAGGCCGTGGAAGGATTCGTGTATGTTCCTCTCCTCGCTGACGCTGTCGAGAATATGACGATGAAGTTGCTGCTCGTTCCCCTTGTCCCACCTTTCAGGATACAGGGTGACAATTGTATCTGTCATGTTCAATTGTTAGAAGGACACGAACCAAAGAACATGACGTGCTCGGGTAGATCTTACCTGTGTCCAATTTGAAGAGCCAGAAATGTGGGACTGTCAAAAATCATCTGGCTCATCTAAGGTGATGAGCTCAGGCACAGCTCTGGGACTAGTGTTGTCCGGCCGGGTGGCATTTACGACAGGGTGTGGCGTCGTTGGCCCGGCTTGGTGCTCAGTCTGATCAGCATGTGTAGGAGGCACAGTCCTGGCGCCGACTCCACCCGAATTGAACGCGTATCCAGGCTGCGCTGAATTGCTTGACTTCTGGCCCATTGCCTCTTTTTGCAAGAGGGCAAAAAGCTTCATGCTCTCAGCATCATCGACATCAGAAGCCGTGCTTGTGGTGGTACCTGTGCGTTTGAATTGCGCCCGAGATTGTGAGCTCACTGATGCACCGGTGAATGTTCTTTGTGGGCTCTGGGGGGGTCGTGTCGTTTCGAACGATCTTTGTTCTACTGCTTGCCCCCCTCCTACACCGGGAATGTGGCTCATGTTTTTGTCACCCGGCTGGATCCTGTTGTTGTCTGGCGACTTGACTGGGCTGCGTCCCAGTGATTGACGCTGGCTCAATTCACGATTTTGTTCTGGGACTTCTGGTTGCAGATCGGCTGTCTTTTCCTCAGAATCCGAGACACCAACAGGCCTTTGATAGGAGTTCGTTGGATCGGCTCTTGTGAGGCTTTCATGTTCCATGTCTTCAAGAAACCAGGAGCTTTTGGCCTTCAAATACTGAATGTACCGCACTATAACCTGGTCATTGTTGAGGAAGTCCAACTTCTCGTTGTCTAAATCCTCATGATACGACTGGTCCAAGCAGCGCGGTAGTGTTGGCCTAGAAAATCTGCTTTGAGCATGTTTCGAAAGTGAAGGGCCGCCCGCTCATTGACATGCAACTTGGTTTCTTGCCTTGGCGTGGAATGATTTGCCGCTTGTTCGCGAGCCATTCTCGCCAAAGACACATAGTCCTTCTTATCCACATCAATAATCGGGAACTGTGGTTGATGTTAGCTATTGCACGAAGGTGCGGGGTGATGCTAAGATTCAACTCACCACCGCGGCATATATGCTGTCCTGCGAGCGTTCTTGGTTGTCGAAACCAGATTTATGCCCGTGCTTCAGGTTCGTCAACTTCTCAGCGTTAGTCGTGTAGCCATTCGATTGAAAGGGTAAGTGGTTCTTCGCGGGACCATACATACCTTGAAGTGTACCTTTCCCTCCGCTCCTGTAATATCAACTTGCTTGAACATGTCGTTGATGAGCTTCTCGATGGCCTTGTACATGTGGAGGTCATGTCCTGAAGCTGCGTAGATGGTCTTGGTGAGATCCAGGAGCAGTTCCTTGCTAGCAACTGGTATATGTATCCATTTTTTCTTGGGCACGTCTTGTCTCCTGGCCATATCAAATCGCAAAAACATATCATCCTTGGGCTCGTAGGCCAGATCCCAGATCGGAAGTAGCCGCCACTTTGTAGAGATGTTGGGTTCCCAAAAGCTGCCCTGGAAGTATTCACAGACAGATCGTCTGGGGCCCTCAACCTTATCGGGCGGTTGCGTCAAGTATGCGTCGTTGATCGTCAAATGATTCACGGCGGCATGCTGATGGCCTGCATGGACGATTGGAGGGTTCTTGAACTGCCGTTCTGTTTCAGGCGAGGACGCGTAGAAGTTTGGCAAGTGGCCACTTCCGTCGACAAGCTCGGTGTTAGCTCCCCTCTCCAGAAGCCAAAACACACAGTCGGAGTGGTCATTGATGGCCGCTAGATGTAGCGCCGTGTATCCGTGAACGTCCGCAGCATCCAAGTCTAGCCCTTTCTGTTCCAGGAGAAAGCGCAATATATCGTTTTGGCCCAACTCGGCAGCTGCGTGGAGGGGAGTTCGCTCTCTGTGATCTCGTGGGTGAAGAGAGGCATGGTTTTGATAGAGCTCAATAACTTTGTCCAGGTCATTCTCTGTCACGGCTTGGTAAAGATCCTTCCCTGCCTGAAGACGCCGGTCCTTTTCCTCGTTCGCTCCATCCAAATAGCTTGAAAAAGTCAAGGTCCTCGAGGGTGTCAGCGGATTCATGCCGTCTTCTGAAGGCCCGGGAGTTTGAGGCTGCTGGCGTCTCCCACTGGGTCGGAAGAGCTCTTTGAGCCGCTTCAGCTTCTGTGAAGCATCTTGTCTCCGATGAGGTCTCATCTTGCGTGCCGGGCGGATGCGAAATCCGGTATGTCGCAATGTTGAGAGCGCAAGGTGCCGCACACCAAACTGGGTACGTTCTGAGGGACCTGACGGATGAGAATGTGGGTGTTTTGTGTCCCGAGGGCTCAAGCAGTACCGAGGACCTGTCGCATTCATACAACTTGGACTTCGTTGGGCAAGCGATGAAGAACTGGGGCAGATGGAATGCTTGTGTCCAATGAGTGGTCGCTCTCTTCGCCATGCATTAGCCCCTCAGGCTGGGTCGAAATCTCCATGGCTTTGTCGATGGAGATAGGTGGAGCACCCAACAGCAGACGCGTATCTCGCCGATAAGTAAGGTGGCACAATCGTGTACCAGTGAGCTTTGCGCCCTCATGAGCGCAGAAGTTCCTGACATGGCTGAGCTGGATGGAAATTGGGCCTAGAAGGACTCGGCTGTCGTATGTCGGTTTGCTTGGCTGCCAGCTCATTCATAGGACTGCAGAATATGACAGATCTGCTTCAGCCCAACCTGAGGAAGTGGCCGAATTCTCTTGGCGAGGAGGATGGCGATGATGGACAACATGTTCGTGGGTGTTGTTGGCTACGGTAGGGTCCTGGGTAAGGTGTGCTGAATGAAGGGAACAGCCGTGTCGTGAGCCTCTCTTGCAACAGCTCCACCTGGCGACTCGCTCGGTTGCGGTGGAGGGCCTGGACTTTGCTTCCCGGAGATTATTGTATTTGTGTGGTGGCCAAGTTTGCGTAAACATTCGGAGGTGTGTACGCATCATGATTTGATGCTTGTCTTGTCGTCGGCGTTGTCGAGGGAGAGGGGAGTTGCCGGACAGAGACTCCGCGGGCGGGGCGTCCCACTCCGAGTTGCGGTAGGCCAGGGGGTCGTGCGGGGACAGGGAGGTCTGTTACTTGTCTAACATCGCAAGCAGTGATTAGCAACAAGTTCAGATAAGCGCATAGCTCAAGCTGTCCTTGCCTCGACGCGACCACGTACCGGTATCCGACAATTGTTTGACGCTTGGCGGCGTGTTGCCTTCTGCCTCTTTCAATCTCAAAGTTTGTGAACCCCAAAGGTATCGATTGGAATCGCGCCAATATGTACCAGTCACGTCCAAAGTTGGAAAGGCAGTATGGTCCGGTCTTTGTTCACGAATATGCTCTGCAAACGCAAAGCATGAACAATGTCGAGATCTGACAGTGGTGGATTGTCTGACGCGCAGGTGACGTCGAGGTGACAAGAGTCAAAATGTGGCATCGCAAACGGCGCCATGATGTGTTTTGATGCTGTTCCTCTTCCACCTTTCCGACTTGTGCTTTGGTGGTAATGTAACCCTTTCGAGAACTCTCAGAAGCGCATTTCAAATACTGCACGGAATTTGAACACTATGGCGACCGAAAGCGAGAAGCCGACCATGTCCCATTCCACCCCATGGGAGGTGAGAGTGCAAGACCATCCTGGTTCCAGCGCGGACGAGGTGAATCAAGAGCCTGATTGGGAGGCCAACCACTCACATCGAATTGGATTCGTCAATCAAGATGACCGGCGTCCGGGACTCACGCACCCACGCGAGGAGTATGCTGAGGAGATCGAGGATGCCCGGAAGCAGCTGGAGGAAATGAGGAGCAAGGTCGACATGGGCGAGTTGGTCAACTTTCGCGACATCATCCAGTCCCAGCGAGACTTCCACATCAAGTACCCCGAGGAGAGGCCGCTGGGCTGGCGATATGTGTTGAACACGACCGAGGACTGGGTCAAGAACAAAGAACCGTGGCCTGCCAATTTGCAGCAACACCAGAGGCAGGAGCCGGAGGAGGCCAAGACCAAGAAGGACAAGAACCAGGAGACAGGTGGAGGAAGGGGTGCTCAACCAGGTCAGGCGGTGTTGCGGGAAAGCATGCCCGAGTTTGAGTGGAGAGCCGATAACAAGGAGAAACATCAAGAAGCACGCCATGTCGATTCTGAGTCCGGGGAGAAGGAGCGCAGGCATGAGGGTGCCACCGGGAACGAGCAAACGGGCAGCGCCAACGTCCATTTTACACCGCAGGAACTCTCCCTCCTCCACAGTCTCGAACACGACAAGGACGTCGTCTCCCAATTCAAACAGCACGATGGCAAGGGCAAATCTCCCCAGACCCACAATCGCACCTCCATCGCCATCGACGAGCAAGACCAATACACCCCCGACAATTGGCTCCCACGATGTCCCGACCTCATCCGCATCGGCGGCAAGCACCCCATGAACGCCGAGCCTCCACTCTCCCGTCTGTTTGATGGCGGATTGATCACTCCCAACGAGCTGCACTATGTGCGCAACCACGGCCCCGTCCCGCGTCTGATGTGGGAATTCCACAAGCTCGACATCGAATATGGCGGCAGAAAGCTCTCGTTGAGCATGAACGAGCTCAAGAGCCGCTACCGCGAGTCCGTCATCAACATCCCCATCACCATGGCCTGCACTGGCAACAGACGCAAGGAGCTGAACCTGATCCGCAAGAGCAAGGGCCTGAATAACGGCGCTGCCACTGTCGGTACGGCGTACTGGAAGGGACCCCTCCTCCGCGACGTCTTGATCTCTGCCGGGGTGCCCAAGGAATTCGGCAAGAGAAAGAACCCCAAGACAAAAGGCATGCGGCACTGGGTCAACTTTGCCGGCGCAGACATGCCGAGCGAGGGCCCGTACGAGACCTCCATTCCCTTCGACTACATCATGGATCCCGCCAACGACGTGATCCTCGCCATGGAGATGAACGATCTTCCTCTTCCCGCCGACTACGGTTACCCCGTCCGTGTCATGATCCCGGGCTACATCGGTGGCCGATGCGTCAAGTGGCTTCGTCGAGTATGGATCACCTCCGAGGAAAACAAGAGCTACTACCACACTTGGGACAACAGGCTGATGCCCTCCTTTGTCACCGAGAAGGATGGCAGGTTTGCAGAGGCCCTGTTCCACAACCCAAGCACCGCCTGTTACGAAAACAACCTCAACTCGGTCATCGCCAAGCCTGCCCAGGGCGAGACCATAGCTCTGAGCGACGTTGAGTGTGGCAAGAACTATCGTCTCGCCGGCTTTGCCTACGATGGCGGTGGTCGAGAGGTGCAGAGAGTTGAGGTCTCCCTCGACGGTGGAGAGAGCTGGCTCTACGCCACTCGTGAGTTTCCCGATTCACCCCTTCGACACGGAAACAAGTTCTGGGCTTGGATCCACTGGCACCTTGATGTCAACATCTCACATCTCGTCCAGGCCAAGAGCATCGCGGTTCGAGCCTTCAATGCATCCAAGATGACGCAGCCAGAGAAGCCAACCTGGAATCTCCTGGGCATGATGAATAATTCCTGGTACATTGTCAAGCCCGAGATCTTGACATCCAGAGGTCAAGGGCCTGCCATTGCCTTTCATCATCCCACCGAGGCTGGCGCTGCCGCTGGTGGCTGGATGAAGCCATCGATGGAAGTGCTAATGCAAGAAGCCAAGCAGCAGGGAAGCGCACCGGAAAAGCAGTTTACTCGTGAGGAGATTGAGAAACACAACAAACTGGAAGACTGCTGGTTGGTCATCGACAACAAGGTGTATGATGCTACGACTGTTCTGAACTGGCATCCTGGTGGCAGAGCCGCCATCTTAGCGCACGCAGGCAAGTGCCACCAAGAGACCACGAACGAGTTCGTCAGCATTCACGATGACTTTGCTTGGAAGAAGCTACATGGTAAGTGCTTTGGTCATCTTCACGATCCAACTGATATTTCGTTACCAACATGAGCTGACCATCATCGTGCTTCGCAGAATGCATACTCGGCCGCGTTACCAATAAGACCGCCAACTTCATCAGAGAGAGCGCAGAAGCAGCAGCAAAGGAGGAAGCAGAGCAATCCCAGGACCAGAAAGATCTTGCCCTTCAACGACGACGCTGGATTCCCGTCAAGCTCGTCAACAGGCGGCAAGTCTCCCCCGATACAAACACGTATACGTTCCAGCTTCCCGAAGGAAAGACTGTTCTCGGCCTAGGTACCTGCCAGCATCTCCAGATCGGCTTCCACCTCCGAGACAAAATGCTTATCCGCCAATACACTCCCACCCGACCAATCCTGCCAGCCCAAGACAGCCAGGGCAGTCAGGGTCGTGGTGACGAATCCTTGGGAAAACATGATCACAAGCTACCGAAGCAGCATGTACACACCAGTGCCCATCTCCATCAAGACAAGCAGCACACTTCTCAACAATCCAAGACCGCAGAAGAAGTGGCCAACTGTTCCCTAATGGACGGCCAGTCTGGAACCTTTGACTTGACAGTGAAGACCTACTTCCCATCCCCGTATCAACCAGGCGGCGCACTATCCAATATCCTCGACTGCCTTCCCCTCGGCTCTGAAGTTGAGATCCGTGGGCCGACAGGTGACATCATTTACCACGGAAACGGCCACTTCTCCATTGAGGGTCGCGACCGACACTTTTCTCGCGTGTCGCTCGTGCTAGGTGGGAGCGGTATCACGCCTGGCTACGCATTGATGGCCAGGATTCTTATGACACCGGGTGACCGGACTGAGATCAGGGTGGTCGACGCCAACAGGACAGAGCACGACATCCTCCTAAAACAGGAACTGGACATCCTCGAGGAAAAGAGCGACGGACAGATGAAGATTTGCCATGTTTTGAGCCAGGCTGGGGAAGGCTGGGAGGGTGAGAGGGGAAAAGTTGATGCGGGGATTCTTAAGCGATGCCTATTCAAACCAGCGCATAACAATGTAGCACTGCTGTGCGGGCCGCCGGGGTTGATTCAGGGGGTTGTGCTGCCGGCGCTGATAGGGTATGTCTCCGCAACCATTCCACATTGTTTGAAAACCCCGTTATAGCTCGGTGCTCCGTCATTTTCTCCTTTGCAGCACTGGCACGTTCCGCCTATGCGACCCCGTCTAACTTTCCATCAACTACTTATAGATTGGGGATATATCGAAGACCAAAACCTTTTCGGGTTCTAATGCGACAGATACTGGCGAACAGTCATCTTTGTGTCACTTTCTTTTGTCAGACCGGCTTCGCTCAATACGGTTTAAAATCTGGTCTCGACTGAGAACAGGTCGCAGGAACTATTGTTGCCTAGCCTTTCTGTGTGTGAATAAGCGCAGATATCAACGTTTACCAACTGAATGTTTTACTGTGTCCGCTTGTATCTCAGCCAATGGTGATTCACACACGATCAAAACCCACTGTCTTTTTGACCTTAAGCTACTTCGAGCGACTAACATCAAACCGTGCTGTAACTGCATGAATTGAAACAATCACGTTAGCCTGAAAGGTACCGACGCGACACATCACGGGTAAGCTCAATGGCCGACACCAAAAAGAGACAAAATCTGTTCGATGTTACCTTCAGCGTTCAAGCGTGACCGCTTCTTAAAAAGAAATGAAGGAGGGCAGGAGGGGTAATAACTGGCGTCAAAATATCATATATACTGGACCGCCGCCACCTGAAAGCAGAAAGTAGTGGATATGGCCTACTTCACCTCTTTTCTATGCCCCCTGAGTTCGAAAGCCCACGTATTTTCCTGTCATGAGTTCCCCCGCCAAGAAGGCACAATCACATTTACCTGAGGCGACGTCGCCGACGGCACAGTCTCCCAAAGGGAATGCAAAGTCGCCCACTCCTGGCCCCGCGTCGCCCACGCCTGGTCCTGCATCGCCGGCGGCCGTCCACGCCGGGGAGCCTACCGACCTGCTCTCTGGCGCGCATTGGGGTGAGCTGGTTAGTCCCCCGCATGTGCATACTTCCTCGACGTACTGTTGCTAACATCAATCTCCACGGTACAGGAGATTCCTGACGACAACGACTCGACTCTAGTTAGTGATGCTGAGAGTTCGACGGCCTCGATCACGTCTACTATCTTGGATTACCGTACGATTAGTGGCAGGACATATCACAGTGATGCTGTGACTGATTCCGAGTATTGGTATGTCGGTCTTGACAACAGTTCTGTTGGATTTTATTAGTTCTTATTTTTTTTTCGTCTATGGAAATGTGAAGCTAACCGCAATCATCCGATGTAGGGGTCCAAATGATGAGAAGGCGAATGAGGTGTTGGATATTTTTCACCACGCCATGACCCTGTTGTTTGACGACAGACTATACACAGCCCCACTCTCCAAGGACATCGAGAATGCTCTTGATGTTGGCACTGGTACAGGTCTATGGGCGATGTAAGATAATCTTCTGGACTCTTTTCTTTAGATGGCTAACAGTTCCTTCATATAGCGATTTTGCTGATGAATTCCCCAACTGCCGGGTGGTCGGTACCGATATTTCGCCCATTCAGCCAAGCTGGGTCCCTCCTAACCTCTCCTTCAATATTGACGATGCAACGAAGGAATGGGCATTCCAGCCCGATCTGTTTGACTATATCCATATCCGGTGGCTCTGTGGTACAATTAAGGACTGGCCGTCCTTATATAAGGAAGCGTACAGGTGTACTAAGCCGGGTGGCTGGATTGAGCATGTTGACGGTGATGTCAATGTCGTATGCCTCGACGGCACTATGCCCGATGATTCGGCTATGAATCAATGGGGAAAGATTTGGACCAGTGTTGAAAGAAAGACCGGAAATGTGTTCAACATCGTTAGGACTGGTATTATGGAGGATGGATTGAAGGAAGCGGGCTTTACCAATGTGCAAATCGAAGACTACTTGGTAAGTTTCATCCCAATCCGTCGAAGCTGTAAGGTTGAGACTGCCGGAAGGAAAAGGAGATGGTCAGTCAGAACGACTGGCCAGACTTCGAGAACCATCTACCGAAACAAGAAAAGGTGGAAGTCTTGCAATCAAGAATCCAAGCCTGCCGGGCAAACAGCAGTGTCAACACCGTCTGAGATTGAGGTCCACCGTGACTGACTTTCAGTTTTGGGCTCCGACGGGTCCTTGGCCTACAACCGAAAAAGAGAAGCAGATCGGATTCTTCCATTACATTTTCTCAACGCAGGACATTGAGGGCTTCCTCAATTACTTCCTGGGCCAGGTGATGGGGTGGACTGACAAGGAGATGGCAAACTATGCCGCGGCTATTCGACGGGAGTACAAGGAGGGCAAGATCCATGGGTACATCAAGTGGCGCGTAGTTCGTGCCCAGAAGCCGTTGGATGCCTAAAATCACGAGCGTGTGAAGGTCAACAAGGGCAGCAGG